ATAAGTCACCAGCCAGAAAATAGGTACTGGAATGTGGAAATATCTGCTCCATGTGACAGGCAGCCTGGCATGGCCAGCTGGTTAGAATGCTCATCTTGCAAACATGCTTGCCTTTTCAGCTGTGGGGGCATTATAATATGACAGTCAATCCCACTTTTTGTTGGTAAAAAAGTAGCCCAAGAGTTGGTGGTGGGTGGTGATGACTAGCCCTCGTATAACTTTGCACAAAATTCAAACCAAACCAAACCATGAGACAGATGTGAGGTAGTTCTCTGTATACAAGGTGAAGTAAAATACAATGCAACTATCCCATAAAACAGTAGATTATTTTTTTGATTGGACAATCTGCAGAAAATTACACCCCAGGCTGAATTTAGTTCATACCGTCAACCAGGTTTTGTGTGTTCTAAATTAGCACATAGAAAAATTAAAAAATTTGGGAGGTCTGATATTTATATACTGTAGGAGAGTGAATAATGTTGTATTTGCATACTACATGTTCACTCTGTTATGTGCAATAATTAGTAGGTAGAAAGCTAACAACTGATATTTTTATATCTTGTAGTGCAGTGGCTATTGTAGGATTACAAAAATTGAGATATACTTTGTTTATTTGTTTTTGTGTTCTCTGTATGCTAAAAGTTGTGGTTTAAAGGCTGAAAGCTGATGAAATATTAGAAACCAAATAGGTCTAAAATTTGTGATAAAAATTACATAAACTGCAGATGTTTTTTCCACTTCCTAATTTGTCCTTTTCAGAGTCTTTGCATATTAAGTTTCTGTTTTAAATATACAATACCACAGGCTGTGTTGTTATGGGTATTACAAGTAGGCCAGGTAGAGATTCAGAAATAGGTTTATAAATTCTATTAAATACAGATGGAACCTAAAAAGAGAGTATGGTTAACAGGTTTATTTAGACTAGAATTTTCTGAAGATCATAATAAAGTTACATTCATTGAGTGTCGGGGCTGTTTCAGAAGTAATAAATGTTTTTAGAAGATAACTTTTTTATTCAGCTGTTTAAGGTACAATATATTGAGTGTCACTGTTTTTTCTATCAGAGCAGTAAAAGTGATTTCATTCAGTACGAAGGTAGAAACATTATAAACCTATTTTCATAAACCATAAATTGTATTTTTCAGTTTTGACATGATAAAAGTTTCTAATTAGAAATTATTTCAGACATCACACTTGATTATTCATTGCACTTAAACTTCTCAATAACTAGAGATTCTACACTTTCGTTTTGTTGAGAAGCAACCTTTGGTTAACTTACTTTTGTAATCCTATTACTTGACTTTACAAGCATATTCTTTTTTTTAATATTGTTTAACAATATTCAATTGTCTATCATTATTCAAGGTTGATAAGCCTCATTCTTAGGCCTAACTTCTTGACAATGGAAACCTTCTTGCAAACAACGATACTGGGTATTATGTACAAAATCTGCTATAAAATATGCCTCAAGCCTATTATGCATCTATATTCTGAAATGTAAAATGGTTTGGAATTTTGAGAAGCACATATATATATATTTTCAAGTTTAAGTTGTGGCTATAAGTTCTTTATGTTTCTTTTCTTGGTATTCATAATAAGTATATCCTTATTCTTCTGTTTAATTAATATTTTGTTTTACTGTTCAGTATGAAAGTTGCAAATATTAAATTTTGTACTTGATCTCACAGTATTGACTAGGTTTGTTCAAAGCAAACTGTTTGCCTACTGTCAATTTTAATGTAACTGTAAGTTATTGATCAAAACAGTAACATTAATAAAGGCTTATTAAAGAAGAAAAAAAGATTAACTATCTTATTATGATATAATCTTTTTTTTACAACTAATTTTGTTCAAAAGATTAATAATGTTTTGCTAACCAAAATACTGTTATTTTCTTGACATTTTTGATTTTTTGTAGAGAAAAAATACTTTTATTTCTTTGTACAATTCGGAAATTTCTTACTATTGGATCATCTTTATAGAAAAATATTTGTTCATGTTAACAAGAAGTGAACTCACACATTGTTATCTTGTCTTTTGTAGCTGTAGAAGATAGTGGCTTGCAACCTGTTATGAAGTGTCCAAGGTGTGGTAGTGCTGATATTGTGATAAGAAACAGGAAGAATGGCCAAGGGTAGAATATTTTTATTGTGATGCTAACTATAAAATTTATCTATTTTGACTAGTATAGTATTGAATCAGAAAAGGGGGCTGATCATGGCCTAGTGGTTAACATTCCAAACTGCAGATTCAAGGATGTATGGTTTGTGTCCTGTTGTTGCAAAAAGTATAACAATCCTTTGCAATTTGGAGCCTTGGGAGTGTTGTAAGGGTGACAGTGAAATTACAGTAGTCCAAGAGTTGGTGGTGGGTGATGTTGAATGGTTGCTTTCCCTCACTATCATTATGGAGGTCTACCACAGATAGCCAATGTGTATCTTTGTGTGAATATCTAAAACAAAACAAACCAATCTGAAAAGTGGGTATTTTGTGTAAAAAATTTGTTAATATGTAGGAAACCTTTTTATTGTAGTACAGCATTTGTTCAGTAATTATTTTTGTGATATAGTCTTGGTCTGCTATTGAATTATAGCTTTCATTCAAGTAGCCTAAAGCTTGAAGCAAAATAAATAAGAAAAAAATAATTGATAAAAAATATTCATAATTGATAGAATTTTTTTTAGACAAAATATAAAGTATAAAGTTGCAGATTTAATTTTATTAATTTCAACTTTAAAGAATTTGAAAACTGCTCAAAACCTCAATTTAAAACAGCTTAACATTATGTGTATAAGTCAGAAGAAAACTTGACTTAATAAAATGTAAGCTTACATTACTGATTTAGAAATTTTACATTGGGAAATAAATACAAACACATACATGAACATCAATTTGTGAGACTTTACTGAACAGTTAACTAAAATTTCTTCTCAAATTTAAGAGCATGAAACTTGCATATAAAACATAAATTTATTAATAAAAGAATTAGAAGTCTTTCACTTGTTGGATAATTGTGAAATTATCACTGTATTTTATACATTTATGCTGCTATTTAATAATTTTAAGAAGGTTTATTTTAATATTTTATTTCAATGTTTAATGGTACTTTACAAGATCTTCATGCATCATTTTTGTAGATTTTTTCTGTCTTGTATGGGATTTCCCCAGTGTCGTAGTGCCCTCTGGCTTCCTGGATTTGTTGAAAACATTATGGTAGAAAACTCCTTGTGTTCAGAAGTAAGTTGCTTATAATTAGTATCATGAATCCATTAAAATAGTTATTTGTTTCAGTGTCTGTTATAAGATAACCTGTCTAATTTGGTTTTAACTTAAAATATCCCAGAATCAACTTAAACCTTATTATGACAACTAGCTAAGGGGTAAAAGAATAAACAGGTTTAAACATTAACAATGTTGTGCTGGAATCCACTTGATATCATTAGTAACCTGAGGATGCTGTTGAACTATGGTGACATTTTTTCATTTATAAATCTATTCATTCTTTTATCCTAGTTTTTAGCTATGATAGATATTTATCACTTCACCTGGTTATCAAATGCTGGACTAACTTAGCAGAAGGTGAGGGGGACCTCTTTAAATAGTAGTTATTCTTTTTTAGTGAATTTAAGATAAAGTACTACTCAGACCAATGACCAGGCTAATTGCCATTAATATTTAATTTTATGGTTTATTAAGTCTTGAATGCAACTATTTCTATTTATTTAAGACTTGTACTGAAGCATTTAAGATCCAATAGCTCATGTGGTTATAATGTCTTCTTGACTGGCGAAAACATAAGATTTGAGTTCCATTGAGTGTAATTTTTTCCCTCTTTAGAAAATATTTATTTTTATCCTTTAATGTCCAAAATATATGTGATAGGAATGACAATTAGTTTGCAGGTTTATTCAACTGACAGAATAAAGTTTATGCCTTTGAAATGTTCTAGTTTTGTAAAGCCTTGTAAAATGAACATGAATGCCTTGCTCATGCTTATACATATATTTTGCTCTTACACATGTCTCTAATATATAATGTTTCAACTGTTTAAAAGTTGTTTTTTTTTATTTACGAGTAAATAGATATTTTCATTATGAAAATTTAGTGTTACCTTAAAGTTGTAAAGAGACTCTGGATTAGATAGCTTATTTAGTTTATAATCTCAGACAAAGATGATTTATACCAAGAGTTAAGGTAGGTTTTTTCATTGTCCTTGAGATTTCAAGAAATGTCAGAATTTTAATGTGAGTCCTCTGGTGTACAATAAATTGTGTTAGTTCACAGGGTTTATTGCTACACACTCATCCTGTAATGTGAACTAGTTGAATCAATGTTAGGTCTAATGTTTTAGATTTTGAGCAGAACGTTATGTGTTTTTATCTGTAGCAACATCATAGATACAAAGTACATTAAAAGGATGCTATTCAAATTTTGCATTAAGAAGTAATTGGTGTATATTATGAATCTAGGCTAATTGTACTGCTTTTCAAGCAGGTGACTATAGACAGTGTATATAAAGGCATTGTGCTGTACAACTGTTATATTTCATGTACTGCCTGTTATAATTCATTTCAGAATGTTTTACTTAGTGACATTGAAACTACTATATTCACTGCTTTGGTTGCCTCCTTATGGTGCTTCCTTATCAGTTACTAGTCCATGCTTGTCAGATATTATACTGAGTACTACAGTCCTTAAAATTTTGTTAACGTAATACTGATGTGATCAGTACTGAATTAACCTATCACAGGGCCCCTAGGCACAAAAAAAAGAACGTTTGGCATGGGGCCTCATGAATATATTGTCTGAAATCAAGGATGTTTAATCTATTATTCTTTCAATTGGCTTTATTGATAATTGATAATGCAAGCAATGTACATTATTATAATCGATAAGATGAAAATATAATCAAATTGTGAACTTCATTTGACCTCCTGCTGAATGTACATTATACATTTCATCATGATGTTAAAAAATAGCTCATTTTGTACTATGTGATTTGTTTTTAAAGGGTCAAAATTTTTAATTCAATTTAACTGATTAATATAATAATATATAGTCATGAAAACATGAGGCCCTAGGCCATGGCCTCATGTGCCTTACGTGTTAATCCAGCTCTGGATGTAATATAACAGCCAACCATTTCTATACCACATCTTCATTGGTATTACCTTAGACAAGCTATCCTAAACACTTAAAAGTTTGAATGATTATTTTATTAATCCATTTTTTTTTGTTTTTATTTTTATTTAAATGATGTACTCTTATTTTTTATATATATATATTTGGTTTTTGCCTTTTGTTTCACCTTAAATAACTTTTAAGCGAGATTTATATGAAGGGTGTAATAGTTTTTTGTTTGTGTTTTCTTAGAAAAAAGTTATATATAATGTTCTGTAGGCTCTGATTCTTCACTTAGCTGTTCTTTTTTGATTAAAATGGTAACATTTTAGTAAGGCAAATTCATTATATCTTTGTTTTCTTAACAATTTAGTGTCATCCTCAACGTGTTCAGAAACTACATTTTAAAGTGAAGAGAGGATCTTTGTCACCTTTCTATCCAGATGAGTAAGCAAACTATCTTTTTCTATGTGGATCAGCATCTAATGTTAATTTGCCACACTTTGTGTTATCATCTTTCTATCCAGGTCCACTTTTTTGTATTTTATCAGTTTCAGCTTGTATTGTTTTGTATTTCAGAATGTATTGGGAATACTTTGATTTCATCAATTAATAAGATATTTTTGTCTTTGGAAAGAGAATTTGATTTTTTTTGAAAATTAAGTATTTTATGATACTACATATAATATTGGACTAGTGACAGCCATTTAAGACTGTATGTGATGTTTCAGGGGAGAAAAAGGAATTAACAAGTAATTGCTGAAAATGAATTTTAATGTAGATTTTGTCTAAAAAACAAAAACTTTCACCATGGCAATGAAATAATTTTGGTTGTAGTTTGAAGTTGCGATCAGATATATAAATATCTAAGTTTTTATTTCAGCTATAATTACTGTATTATCAAAATCCTTATTACATTATATGCTAATAAATGATGTTGTTTTGGTCAAAGGTTTTCTGGTTGCTTAGGTGGTTGCGATACTAGACTTATGGAGACTCTAGGTGTCAGACCTCTCTCTAACCCGAACATAGGTGAGATTAAGTGTTTAATGTTTATTAAGTCCAGTGAAACCTACCATTTCTTTGCGACACTAGACTTGTGGAGAAACTAGGTGTCAGAACTCTCTAACCTAAACATAAGAGATTAAGTGTTTGATGTTTAGTAAGCCTCAGTAAAATCAATTTTTTGTGACATTGAGCTAATGGAGAAATTATGTGTCAGACTCTTCTCTAACCCAAACATAGAAGAGATTCAGTGTTTATCTTTTAGTAAAACCTACAGTTTTTTGTTGACTTCTTTAGATATGTGATAAAGATTTTATTTTTATTTATGCACTTTCGTGAGTATGCTATGATTTTAAAACTTGAAAACAAGATGTAATGTGGTGTCTTATTTTCTGCTTAATTCTTAAACAGTTTTTAAAAAAGGTATTTCACTATTTCAACATTTATTTCAGATGACAATTTTTTTTCAAACTTTAATGTAAGATAGGACAGATCAAAATCTCACTCAATGTTTCAGCTGGTAGCTTTTATCTGTCTTTGTTACTCGGTGTTTCAGCTAGTAGCTTTTATCTGTCTTTGTTACTCGGTGTTTCAGCTAGTAGCTTTTATCTGTCTTTGTTACTCAGTGTTTCAGCTGGTAGCTTTTATCTGTCTTTGTCACTCAGCGTTTCAGCTGGTAGCTTTTATCTGTCTTTGTTACTCAGTGTTTCAGCTGGTAGCTTTTATTTGTCTTTGTTACTCAGTGTTTCAGCTGGTAGCTTTTATCTGTCTTTGTTACTCGGTGTTTCAGCTAGTAGCTTTTATCTGTCTTTGTCACTCAGCGTTTCAGCTGGTAGCTTTTATCTGTCTTTGTTACTCAGCATTTCAGCTGGTAGCTTTTATCTGTCTTTGTTACTCAGAGTTTCAGCTGGTAGCTTTTATCTGTCTTTGTTACTCAGTGTTCCAGCTGGTAGCTTTTATCTGTTTTTGTTCAAATGTTCCCTTTATCATGAAGTTTCTGTCTTTTTTTGATAAATGATAAACTTAAAACTGTTATTTGTTTGTTGTATACTGCTGTTAACAAGGCTTTTTTTTACTCAATATAAGAGCTTATCAGGTTTGTTTGGCTACAATAAAGCCTCAAAATTGGAGGGCAGTCTTAGTTAGTCACCAACATATTATGCTACCTTTTTTTTTTTATTCCTGTAAACTCCCAGTGGAGCATAGGGCCGCAACAACACCTTGCCAATGGAAGGTGTTGTTGCAGTTACTTGTAGCAGGTTGGTTTTTATGGGGTGGAGTTGCTAGCCCCGCACCCAACCCTCCCCCTTTCTCATCCTGGACTTGGGACTAGGCAAAGGCGGATGTTGGCATGTTTGGTGTGACGGGGATTCGAACTCGTGACCCTCAGATTACGACTCGAGCACCCTAACCACCTGGCCATGCCGGGCCTATTCTGCTACCTAGTACTTAGTATTCAATCATATATTGTTGACACACCCTTGAATTATTTAGTTTGCCTAATCTTTTTATTAATAAGCTGATGTAAGACTAACAGACCTATAATTAATGGGACAATTTTTGTCACCTCCCTTGAAAAGAGGAGTAACATCAGCCAACTTCCAATCTTCTCGCACCTGTCCACTATTTGAGGACCTTCAAAAAATAATAGCAAGTGGCTCACATATCTAGTCCTTAATCTCTTCCAAAATCATTGGGTAAATTTTATCAAGTTCAGAATATTTATCTTTCTTTAAACTTTCCATTTTTTCTTAACAAGGTTGGACTTAATATGATCATTTTTTTGAAACTTGTTTCCATCTTGCATCTGTTCAGGTTAAGGAATGTTGCTTAAATGTTCATATGAAAAAAATGAAGAAAAAGTAGAATGTAATAACCCAGAAATCCCATAATCATCAAATATTAGCCTCCTGGTGTCATCCATCAAAGGCTTTACTCCTGTCCTGACATTTTGCTTACCCATAACCCTATCACCACAGGTATCCTTTACTGCACATGAGATAAAGTTTTAGTGTTTTACTTTTTGTTTATGTTATACCAATTAGAATAGTATAAAATCTTAGCTAATAATCTATATTTTAAGTTCTTAATTCTACAAAGCAATATTTAAAAAAATCCTGAATTTCAACTAGTGTGACCCATGTGATACATTTTCTCTTAGCATGTCATCATCCCCATTTTATCCAGTAAGAAATTAAACTTAAATTACTCTGTATAAAATCGTTATTGCTCAGACAAACCATAATTTTTATAGTCTTTAATTTTGTTTGGTTACAGAGCTATCGAATAGAAAATCAGACCCCACTTGCCACACCCACCTGTCACATCCCATCTTTCAGAATTCATTATATATTACCTATAACTAATAGAAAGTCAAGGTTTTCATCTATCAAATGACGTATTGTATAATGTTATGTTCTGAACAGTTAGATGACAATTTCGCTCAGAGTACCAACATCGTTCCCTTGGGAAAGTTAATGACTAGTTTGGATGAATTTGTAATTTCTCTTGTTGCATAGTTAGAAAGCCAGAAAATTTTTGAAAGGTAATTGAATTTGTTTACTTTTTGAATGTTATTAGTCTATGTTCTTTGGTGCAGTATTTAATTAAATAATAATTATTAAGTGCATTACAATGTATAGTATAAAAAATTAGGGTTAACTCTCTTCGAAAACCAACAGCAAGAAAAAAAAAGAAGATTGGGTAAGTACTTTATATCTTGTTTTTCATATTTATTCTTTATTTATGATTATAAAAGTAACTAAAATCTAAAAATACAGATCTTTTTAAGTTATTTAAGGCTATATTAGGTAAAATAAGTAATAATAATAGTAATATAATTAAAATGATTCACGAGGCATGCATGCGAGCAGCTCGTGGGTAATGTAATTCGATAGCATAACGTGAGCTTCATGTTCCCCAAGTGATTTACTATTTATAATGGAGAGGATAGTAGTTAGACATGGTTCAAAGGGCAATAAACAATATAATTTAATTATAAATAGATGTTTACTGTTATGAACTTACAGCTACTTAGAATAAATGAATAAGTCATTCTAGAAAGAAAAAAAGAGTAATTTAGATTTATTTCGATTTTTTTTATGGTTACAAAGTAGGTCAAATTGACTGATCCTGTTTTGAGATAGGGTAGAAAAAATAACAGATATACCATAACGTTTTACTAAAAAAAATCGTTTTAAATGTATTTAAGAGGTTTTAGGGATTACACAAAGGAAATTTGAGATAAGTATGTTTACTTTTAACATGAAAATTACTTTGCACATGAACTATTCAAAACAAATACTCAATTTATCCATGGACAAATCTTAATTTTATTTTATTAAAAATATTTCACTAAAAAATATGATTCTTTGTATGTGAAAGACATAATATTATCTAAAAGACTGCCAAATTTTGTGAAGATATACACACTGTATTGATAGTTAAAAGTATTAAATCTATAAAGACTTTAATTGAGAACAAAGAGGTCATGTAGTTGGTCCAATTGACTGAGCCCGTGTTGAGAGAGTTAATGTACTTGAAGAAATCCTCTCTTTCAGCCAACCTTTTTCATACAGTGTTTTTGATTTCCCATTTGACCAACTCTCTTGAACTTCCGTAGTCCTCCAAGTCTCCCATCATTGCAGTGAATTTAAACTTTTTATATTTATTCTGCTTTTCTTTAATTTTACCCCTTACATCCTTTGTTAACCTGATGTTTTACTTGTAAACATTTTTTTTTTGTATGTAAGGGACTATTTTGAATGTTTAAAAACTTTATTTTGAAACTTTTTTTCCACATTTGATCAGTATCTCTAACTAATTCAGTTGCCCAATTCATAGCACATAAGTGAATAAGCATCATGTGTACTATATTTAGAATCTCATGAGCAGAGTGAAAGGTCATTCCAGAGTGGAATTCATGGCAATAATTCAAGAAGAAATGATTCATACTGTAGTACCACTGGTGACAGTGGATTTGAATCGGTGGGATCTGGAAACTTTAGTGCAGATGTTAGAGCCATATATTCTCAAAACTCTACTACTACAAATGTTCCACCTCAGGGACTAGTCTCTTCATTTCATAACAATGGCATTGCTCTATCTTCTCAAAGGACACCAGTTTCAAGAGCTGTTCTGAGGTAATAGTATGATAATGACTTTTAACTTCTAAATCATCATTGTTGTATATATGTATTTTATACATAAGTTCTTAAATAGTGTGTTTGTTTTACTGTATGTTCTTAGAATTAATTTTTACATTGATAGCACCTGTAAATTACATGTACATGTAAAGTTTTCAGCTAATGATATATATTGATAACATATGCTTATGTTGTGAATAAAGACTGATTTTTAAAGCTATCTTTTACATTATGAACATTTTTCAGCAGTTCTAGAATGTTCCTATATTATAATAGCAGTGTTGATTTCAGTTAACTATAATTTAATCTTCTAATGAGTCTAATCTTTTCTTTCAACACTGCTTGTAAAACCTTAAGTAATTATGACATTTGTTTTCTGTTCACAGACCACTAAATCAGTCAAACATGCCAGGCCAACTAGGTCAACAAGACATTGTCTGTAAATGTGGTGAAACAGCATTATTATTGACAGTCAAGAAAAATGGACCAAATATGGGTATGTGTTTAAGTTCTGTATGAACTGGATGATAAATGAAAAGTTTCTATGAAATGTATTTTAAAGTAATTTTTTTATGCCACTGACATTGTGAATGCTTAGATACAGTAACATTTTATCCATCAAAAATGAGAAGAAATATATCTTGACAAGTAACTGCTAATAAACTACTCATCTTACTGATGAACATACAGGGATTGAAAAAACAGTGGAAACACCTCACCTTTTTTTAATTACAAGTTTTGGTGTCTATATGAAGAGAAAATGTCATCACATGATAATGTAAATTTGCAATACATTATTCTATGTTGTTGAATTTGTCTGTATACAAGTAGTATATTGTTTTTATTCAGAGAAAGATTGTAAATATTACAAACTAAAAGGGTATTTTAGATTTTTTTTAGGTGTGACATCATCTTGTCAGAATGGATGGCCTTGCTGATAGTTTGTTTACAGATGAATGTAGATTGGTGATTTGTGGATATGAGGAGATAAATTAATATGAATAATTGTTACAAAATGATACAGAATTGGTTCTTAGGACCTGAACTTTTGAGAACTTGATTTTTAGACTTTGGAAATTAGTAAAAGGAAACTAGAGGCTAAAAATCCCAGAATTTCTAAAAATATGTGCAGGGCAGTGGAGTAGAAAGATGTCTTCATGTAATTTTAAACTTTGTAGTAATTACAAATGTACATGTCTTCAAAGTGACATGATCGAGGTTGGACTCGGGTTTGATATCATGGTAACAACATCTATCCAAAGTATAACAGAGACTTTATTTAAAAATATAGGCAAAACAACATTTATATTACACAATAAAATAAAAAAAGAATTAAAAATTACTCTACATGTTTTGGTAGCTTCCTGATTATGGTAGTGGAAGCTACAGAAACATATAGTCATTTTTAATTTTTTTTTAATTTTATTGTGTAATGTAGTAAATATTGTTTTGCCTATATTTTTAAATAAAGTTTATTGCACAATATTTTCCCATTTATATTTTATAATAGAAGCTTTTAAAATAAAAACGAGTGAAATGGTAGTTGTAATAGGAATCTTCCTAAGTTATTGTTTAGGGAAATATATGCTAAAATTTCAGGTGAAACCAAATCTGGAATTTTATTCATCCCTTGTCATTGAGCTATGCTGTTTTGTGGGAATTCCACTCCTCCTCAGTAACACTGGATAAAGACAAGTAAAAAAAACACAAAACTATTCTTCTTTAAGCATTATAATGTATATTTTACATTTGTGTGTTTTTAGTTGTCTTGTTACTTGTCAGAATGAACTTATATAGAATTTGAAGAATATGTAGTATTGACAAGTGGTGAATTGAAAAATAGATTGGGTTTTATATCTGTTTTTAGTATCGTAAACTGAGTGTCTGCTGAATAATTTATTATCGTAAACAGTGTGTCTGCTGAATAATTTAGTATCGTAAACAGCGTGTCTGCTGAATAATTTAGTATCGTAAACAGTGTGTCTGCTGAATAATTTAGTATCGTAAACAGCGTGTCTGCTGAATAATTTAGTATTGTAAACAGCGTGTCTGCTGAATAATTTAGTATCGTAAACAGTGTGTCTGCTGAATAATATAGAAGAATTAATTAATAGCATCAATGCTCCATATTCTTTAAATGTTATATATAAATGTAGGTTGAATGTAGTGAGTAAAAACAATTAAAAACTTATAATAAACAATGTATTTATATGTTAATTTCTTTTCTTCACCAAAAAGTGAACCTCAGTGATGAAAAAATGATGTAGAGGACTAATCTCTTCTTTCATTCACTACAACAAATTAGTTTCTCAGAATTCACATTCCTTTAATGGATGATACATTTAAGTCAGACTATATATTTGCTGTTTTTCTGGCTCACTAATTAAATATGGGCAGTCTGTTTTTTAGGATGCTGCTGAAGTTAGATTTTTTATTCTGATTACTTTTGAACTTTAAACTTGCTGTTCATATTGTTTATATTATTGTATTATAAATCCTTATACTACTCTTTCATATTTTGATTCATTAATTTGGATCTGTCGTAAGTACTTACCACGTAACATAATTTGGCAATCCATTATATGCACTTCAGATATGTATAAAAAGATTGCTCATTAAATATTTCACTCTACTCCACCTGGAATACGTGTAAAAAGTACATTTGTTAAATATGTATTTCTATAATTTGAAATAGGTGACTTACCTTTAAAGCAAATGTATTATTATATTTTGTTTTTTCAGGAAGACAGTTTTATAGGTGTGGTAAAAAAGAAAATGAATGCAACTTCTTTATGTGGGCAGATGACAGTATAACCCCGATGTCTTCTGGCCAAGATTTCTTAAGGTTTAAACATAACTTGTTTTATTTTATTATTCTTGTCGTGTATTGTATGTTTTGCTAGTTTTTGTTATCAAATTTTAATCAATTTAGTTTCTATTGTAGCTCTTCATTTTTTTTGGATGAAATAGTTCATGAAGTTCTAAAGCCTTAAAATTATGCATATTGTTTCAGTTTGTTTTCTTTGGGCTAAGAAAAAGAAATGATAAATAGAGATATGGGGAATAAGAGATAAAAGACTACACTGTAAGGTATCTCTGTTGATTATGTTATTAATATATACTTCTCTGTCATAGTTTATGGTAAACAGGACATAAGACTTCTTTATATTAGTTCCTTTTGTTTTGTGGGTTTTGTTTGAATAAAATAATTAGGTGTTGATGACCAGAAAGCAAAATGCCCTATGGTCCCATTTGAGCAGGCATAACTAGAATTTAGGAAGTTATCTTTGATCAACATAATTATCTTTTGATTAGCAATTATGTTAAAATGTACCAAGAAAAAAAGGGCAGTTAGTTAAAAATAACGCATTGAATGTGTGACAGATTTGGGTGTTTTTTCTGTGTAGTATGACACTTAATCTTACATAAGAGTTGACATTTATCTTTCTCGTGTAGTCCACCAAATGACAACAATTTGAATTCTGGGGTATTGAATCACCAAGATGTGCATTGTCAGTGTGGTGGTGTTGCAAAACTGTAAGCATTCTCATGTATTATATGTATATGTTATATTTAAAAATGATCCAGTAATTGAACATAACAAATACAATATGAGAAGGTATAGCCAACAAAAAACAATTTTAAACTTTGTTATTTTGTAACACAACATTAAATAGAACTTTTGTTTTTGTTGAGAGTGATGTTAGTCTTGAAGGATTTTTCAGTGCTGCTTATACACTTAGACTAAGTTTTAATTTTATAAGTAATTTAATATTTTCAAACAGTTTAATCCTTTTTTCATATTATGAAGTAAAATTTCTTAAAAAATATAGACATTATGTGAAGTTTATGTAAAAGAGAAGACCATTATTAATTTAATATTTTGATCAGTGAAGTATGTGTAGCATATTTTTTGTCTTGTAAATTGTTTCAGAATAATCAAAGACCAGTAATATTTTAATTAGATACTGATTAAAAAAAAAAGTCCATACATAAAGCTTATTTTGTTTGTATTGAGATGTTATACTGGAAAATATAGCATAGTGCAGTAATCATAAAGAAAGTAAAAAAGATGATTGTTCCATTTCAGTTTAACAGTCCAGAAGGAAGGACCAAACAAAGGTCGTCAGTTTTATGTATGTGCCAAACCCCAAGGACAACAGTGTCAGTTCTTCCAGTGGGCAGATGGCATTGTTGCTGGTTCATCTTTCTCGGCCAGTAGAGGTTGGTATTATTCTGTTTTGTTACTGACATCAGTGAAGTAGGAAAAAGAGAGAACTTATAAACTTGAAGCTTAGTGTCACAAATTGAGTGACTAATAAAGTAATAAAGGATTTTACATTTTTATTTTCCAGATTACTAAAACTAATTGTTAGGCAGACTTCTGTGTCAACATTTTGAAAGATTGGAAATAATTCAGGTTATTCTGACATTTTTATATTATAAAGTTTCATCAGTCTTAGTGTTATGTAGAATAGTGATAAATACAATTTATCTAAACCTATTTGCAACATTGTTTATTTCTTGGGTTTCATTTAGGTGGTAAAGATTGTAGTAGTATTTTATTAAAATTTAGAACCATATGACCTATGGCCTCTGTGCATGATGCCACTGCTCTAATTAGCACTGTATCTTTTATTTTATACTCATAATTTTAGTGGTAAATATACTTTACTTATATGCTATAATGAAACATGATAAAGGTAACAGAATAATTATTTTAATAAAACTGAACACTGTTCTTGGTAATAAGTGTGTTTGAAAAAGTTCAACTACAATATAATATTAGAAACTAAGTTCAAGAAGTAGATTTTTGTTTAAGAGTAAAGACTGTTATGTCAAACAAAGTGTGTACAAACATATTTTGTCAGTTAGATCCAGTGCAGAAATTAGGTATGACTTCATAAGTTCTTGTACCAGATTCTCTTGCAAGATCATCAACAGTTGGCACTTAGAATGATAGTTTATAGAGTTTTTCATTTCATAAGTTTATTGAGTTTATTTTTAAAGATATTTCTGAAGTTTCCTATTCAGTGCAGAACTGGTTAAGTCACTTTACTTGTATTAAAAACAGATTTGTTATTTTTCAGTTACAAGAAGAAGGATAACTATGGTATTTTGATAATAGGCATTCAAACATTAAATTTACATAATTTCAAAATTGCCTTTTTTGTGATATTTTAATGTGTAAACAGCTAAGCACTTTTGATATGAATATATTTATAAGTTATCTTTAAAATGATTGAAAGTTAAATTTTTGATATTTGTAGTTAGCAGAGTTGCTAGTATTATCCTTTTGTGACTTGAGAAAATGCTCAAAATCAACAGTGTATTGAAATTAACTGAAATTGGTATTTGTTTTATGATTACATGTTCTGAAAATGGTTGAACGGAGTTACCACCTTTAAAATTGTGCTGTTTTCTGTTGCAGAGAAAGAAGTAACTTTAGTCCTAAACATAGTTCTGTGTATGTTAAGAGAAAATAAACTTATGTTAAACAATGTGTGTACAAACATATTTTGTCAGTTAGATCCTATACAGGAAATTATATATAACTTCATAAATTCATGTACCAGATTGTCTTGCAAGATCATCAACAGTGTGTTATCAACAGGTATATCAATACTTGACAGTAAGAATTAATAAGCTTTATTAGCAAACCTAACACTAACCACTAATTTGGGTCCTGATAGTACAATACACATAAGAAGAGGGTTTTGTTGCATATAAGTTATGTAGACACGGCACGCCATTACTAAGACTAAATGGTTGCATATAGTTGATTTTACACTAGTTTATTATTGTATTTTTAAATAGTGAACTTAGTACCTTCATAATTTGGATGTACAAGATACTGAAGTTAGATTTTTTTTATTAAATTTGTTGGTCTTTTTTCTTGCCTAGGTGAGAGTCGAGGTGCTAGAAGACCCACGACAGTACGTTCTACAGGAAAAAATGAGAAGCAAGGGACAAAAAGAAAGAGAAGGTGTGGTGTATGTGGACAGGAAGGTAAGTTTTTCAACTTAGCTGTAGTAAACCTAAATTTGTTTCTAATTCTACTGTCATAAATGTTTTATTCTGTGAGGATTGATGAAGATTCTTTAACCCTATATCAGTAGCTGGGTCAAAGTGCATATGTCATGATCTTTTATGTAGTTACATTCAAAATTTAACTAAGCAACTTTATTATCAATGTATATCAATAATCATGGGCATCAAAACATATTCTTTTATTTGTATATTATCTAGGTTTTAGCTTCTTAATTCCAAAGGGAAATATGTAAATAGATTCTCAGTTTTTACTTATGTTATGTCTCTGCACTCTATATTGTCCATTTTAGATTTTTTCTACCTTTATATGATCTTCTGAATGTCAAAATAATGAGAAGTGACTTATAGACCTATTGTAAACTTAGGACCTCCAATCGAAATATCAAAAAAGAAAAATGTAAAACCCTTATAGCATACCCCCCTCCCGTATCATTCTGGCTTTCACAAAATGCCAGTAATTCTCTATGACATAACTATTGGACTATTTATAACCAACAGAAAGAACTGCTTTTTCTTTAAAAGATCCCTTATTCTGTTATCTTGTTTTAATGGCTGTAAGTAGACATTTAGTCTCAGTTTCATTGTTTATGATCATGGTTAGAAAGCCAGTTGAATCTAGTAGTTTTGAGACATTCTGTTCTAGTTCCTGATATATTTTTTATGTTATAAAATGCATATTTGAAAGGGACATTAGTGATTTTGTGGAAAATTAAGATAGCATGAAAAAGTTAGTGCTAAAGAAGAATACTCTCATGTACAAATTAGTGAAATAGGCTTCAACTCTAATGTAAGTTTAGAATTTGTTGTTTTTTATGAATATTCTTTTTTTTTTTGTAGAAAAGTAACTGAAATGTAAAAATGAGAAACTCCTCAGGTTAGATAACAAAAAGCGAAAAAAAAATCACAGGACCAGCTCAAGCTCACTGCGATTGTAACTCGGTTGTTTACTCTAAGTTCTCCTGATGTGGTTAACTGCCTGTTACGTACTTAGAAAGGGTCTAAAGGCACTATTAAGTAATATAATTAAAAGCAAGCAGGCATGTGAAAAGGTTAGAAAGCTGAGGCTGTTTCAATAAATAACTGTAAGTGTCTCTTACAATTTGCAGCCATTATACAAAAAACAGTATTTATTTTATTTCATATATTTAATTTTATTTCCTCTGTTTATTGATTATTTCACTACAGTTATTGTTAGGGTAGAGAAAATAAGAGATAAAATATAACATTTTTACTAAAAAAAATTATATTTGTCTATGAGGTTTTAGAGATTATGCAAATGAAATATGTAAACTGTAAAATGAAAAGAAGTGATTTTATTCTTACCACGAAAATCTTCTTTTACTCAGACTGACACATTACAGGTTTCATAAGTTCACAGACAGTAAATTCAGAGCTATAGTAAATGGTGCTATGTATAGTTTCACAAATATAGGGTTAGTCCAGTGAACTGATGCTGTTGATAGGAGGTTAACCCTTTTTAGTCCAGTATCTCATGCTTTTCATGAGAGCACATGATAACTTCTACTAATTTCCAGGTTCAAGGTGTTAATACACTATGATTATAGTGGCTGGCCAGTTTGATAACTGAACCAGTAGAAATATAGGAGTATATACTTAAAAAAACAAAAAACATTTTCTTTGAATGTGTAGTGTTTTCTCTGATATAAGTATTTATCTAACTGATTCTGTAAATTACTGGTTCAAGTATTTCATATTATAATTACTGGCCATTTAAAGTTATAGGAAGGAAATCTTTTTAGGTATCATAATCTGTGATGACCTCATAGGGGTGCTCTTACAGTTGTATGTTTATACCATGTATAAAATTAGTAACCCTTGGTGGCAAGCAGACACCTGTGTATGAATAATACTCACAGGAATTGTATGTAATTTGGTTTGGTTTCCATCTTGGATACTGCTTTATGTATAGTATGTATGTTGCAGGGTTGCCAGATGGTTGGGGGAGATTTATGGACAAATTAATGGTTAAAAAAGGCCAACTCCTAAACTCCATACAAAACACTACTATAAAACAAAAATTGAACTTAAAAATATCATATTTTATTAAACTGTACAGAAAGTATTGTAACTTTCTTTTCGTAACCATAGGAACTTTTTTCCCACTCTTTATTGCATTTCCTGCCACTATCATAATACGGTTTCCACTTAGGAGGCATAGTAAATAAAAGGTTATCAGATTTAAGAAATAAAACTCATATAATTTCTTCAATATCCACACTGGAACCACATGACACATGTCATAACATGTAAAACGTTCTACTACTACTATTAAATAATGCAACGCTTGTAATCTTGTCTTGTCTCGTAGAGGTATATATATAAACAAAAACAGTAAAAAAAATAAATTGTACAGAGAATTGACCAAAATTTACTCAAAATATTTTGGCCAAACATGGTAGAAAAAGGCCAAATTTCTGGAATTTGGCCATAAATAGTCCGACTTGGCAACCCTGGTATGTTGTATATGCTAGTTTTAACATACTTATCGTACTTGTTGTGTTTGCAATATTTCTATTTCTGAATATCCATATACATATAATTTTTTGTCTTTGTTCTTTTCAGGTCATACACGTAAATCTTGTCCTATGAATAGATAGTATGAGATTGACCATTACAGTATGCCCATTATGTCCTACCAACTTAAAATGTGACTATTTTAGGACTGATTTTAAAATAAGTCTCTCTAGTAGTTTAATGTCATTTTTACCTTTGACATACTAAGCTTTGGAAGCAATCTCAACAAATGACGTTTATCAGGTTACAATGATGGTATGACCCATTCAGTTACTTCTACCACTTGTCTGATTGTCAAGCTCTAAATTGTGGCTAAAAATGGGCTTTAGAAATCCCCATTCATTCAGCTTCAGAGGTTTCTAACAAATACCAAACTGATAGAAATCTGAAGAGTGGTGCTGCTAAAGAAACTTTTAAATTTTAGGTTGATGATGGTATAGTAAGAGAAATCTGAAGAGTTGCGAGGAAAATGGAAAAAAAAACATTTCCATGATACAAATATAGCAGGTAGTGTGAGTGTTATGTTCTCAGGTTAAGAAATATTTAAATTTTTTTTTAATGTGCAAGTCACTAGAAACAAAATTGTTTGAAAGGGTTAATAAGTTTTCAAGTGTGCTCAAAATTTTCATGAAAAATATCAACATCATAAATTTTATTATAAATAGTAAATGATTTTAAGTTTGGGTTTATGATATCATCAGCCCACACTTGGAAATACTGCTATTGGAAAACTTGCAGAACATCATCTTCAGCTGAAAAGAGAAGAAAGAAACTGTAATAAAGTTCAACAAATGGTTTTAACCATTCAAATCTTTGTTCAATATGAAGTCAGAGAGAAAGTAAAAGTACATATTCTTTAGTTAGGCACAAGATCAGACCACACTGTTGGTAAAAATGTAACTCATTTGCTTAATTTAAACGTTTTGCAATGTCTTTTCTACATTTATGTGGTTCATATTTTTGACAATATCGTTATGGGACATTGCTTATGTTTGATAACTGAACTGTTATCCTGTATAGTCTATTGTATATAACTTTTGACATAAATATTTTGTAGGTTTAATTTTTCTTGAATTGTAAGTTAACTTTCAATATTTTTCCTTTTGAACATACTGAAATATGAGTGTACATGTTGTCAGAATAAAATATTGTAGTGTAGATAAAAACATACTACAGTTGTCAGGTTCAAATGTTTTAAGTGGGGCCAGGTAACATTTAAACAAATCATGGAAAGGCCTTTGATTCAGATAGTTTTAATAAGACTTCTAATCAATAGATATAGTTTTATTATAATCCTGTAATTGTTTTTTTTCTAGTGATCACACTTTTTATTCATCTAGTTTTTGATTAAAAAAGGAATTTCATATTTCTTTTTGTCCAGAATGGATTATTTGTTGCATAACATCCATTCATCTGAAGATCCTGATAGAATTTTAAATTTCTAAGAAGTAACTGTGTTGTGCTCTTTTATTGTGTGCTTACCTAGGTTTGTTAGAGTAGGAATATTATATCCTTTCTGCTAGGTGGTACTAGGTATTGCTTATCTACACTGGAATTCGTACACTACCCCAGATCTTCGAAGGTAGGATACTCTCACCTTACTTTTTAGAGAGTTTAAAATTCTATCAGGCTCTCCAGATGAATCTACATTATGTGTCAAAGAAACCATTCTGTTATTTTAAATAAAACCACAGCCACACCAAAAGAACTATGCAATTCCTCTATAATTCAAAATGTAGATGTGTTGTGAATTAATTTTTTTCTCATCACTATTTGAGTAAAATGTCAGTCTTCAGTAGTAAATCTCTTGTACATACTGTTGTAGAAGTCAGAAGTATCAAAATCATCATAAGTCTGTATAACGGCCATAAAGTGTTGTATCCAACACTTATATGTAAGAAAGAAAGCACAATTCACAACAGAAGCACATATTGTGTCAAGTTTTATTCACTTGAAAAAAAAATAAAATAAAAATACAAACCAAATCTCTTCACAGATAGCATAAATTTAAAGAGAAAAATCTACATATCTGTATAGTAGTTATTGCAAACATACCACATAATAACTGAAACCAGTTTAATGAACTTTTATGAAACAAACCTCAACCAATACTGCTTGCCGAATTAAACAGATGCTCCCTGGTAAGTCTAAGGGCTTATGACACTTAAAATCGGGTTTTGATACCCACTGTGGGCAGAACACAGGTAGCCCACTATGTAGTTGTGTACTTACCAATAAAAAAATAAACAGGATTTGTTTCATTGTCTTTAGCATTGCAGAAAGAGGAAAGGCAGATCAACAGAACAAAAAATGTTAAACACTTTTAAAAATTTTATCTTGTGTGACCAAAGTTTTGACAGTTAAAAAATTTAAATCATACATTTTAATTTAACCAGGACTTTTAAAAGGAAACAAAAAAGCAGAAAAAGTTAAGTCTAAATTTATTTGATTTGGCATTGTTTAATCATTTAAAAACTTGGTTACATCATTTTTCATGTTTCTTCAGTATACTGAATGCAAATGGAAGAAAGCTACTGTTCAAGATATTAGTTTGAGAACTTATTACAAGTAAACTGTTACGAAAAAACCTTTGCATTACACTGGAATATTATGTATTAACTGTGTGTGGATAATTTATCTAATAACCATCCTTCGGTATATACTTTATTGTTTATAAAAACTAAGTAATTTAGTATAATTCCTATTGAGACAATCTGAAACATCTGTGTTCCTAACAGTATTAATTAACTCACGTTAACCTCTTGTTTACCACAGAAACAACATTGAATTATTGGAAAGGGTTCAGAGAAGGTCTACTAAGATGATACCTGGGATGAAAAGGTTGTCATATGAAGATAGGTTAAAATCTTTGAACTTGTTTTCTCTTGAAAAAAAGAAGTTAGATGATCTGATTGAGATGTTTATGATAGTTAATAGAATTGATAGTGTTGATACATCATCTTTCATGGTGAGAATGGTCAGACTAGGGGACACAAATACAGATTTTGGCAAGGTAGGAGTCATTTTCAGCTATATTTTTCAAACAGGGGTTGTTGGCCTTTGGAATGGGTTGCCTTCAGATGTGATGGATGCATTAAATGTAAGAGAGTTTAAGACAAAGCTTGGCAAATATTTGAATGATAAGGGTTGACTTTTAAGTGTTTTAGTATTTAGTTTAATATAATGGATGGGACAGCCTAGATGGACCTTTGATGTTGTTATACCTAATATTTCCATTCCCAGGGCTATACTTTGATAAAGATTTCTCACACTGGATCTAATGAGGGTTTTTATACAACAAATCAATCTAATATAAATTTTTGTATTCCAAGGAACCAGTAAATATTAACAAAATTGATGAAATATCAAAAATTACCAACTATTTGAAATTACAAAACATGCAATACTTGTATTAAGAATCTTACAGGTGCAATATATATATATATAATTAACACCAAAGTTTGAAAGAACTGGTGGTCATAGTATGATGAATAACAATTAAAGATTAAATTTCAATATCAGTCCGAATAGTAAACTTATTATTCATATATTATGATAAGGATTTTGTAATGTTTGTATTAATGACTCAAACTTTTTACCAACAGAGGATAGAAAATTTTGTTTTACTAATTTTTATGAGAAAGTTCAGAAGTACTGAATATATATACTGCAGTTTTACACACACACACATGTTAATTTACTAGTACAAAGGTTTTGTGTCACTTTGCAAGTTTGGTGAGTCCAACTAATACTTAAGTAAATCAAACTTTGTTCATAAATATCTGGATAGCAGTTGGCCCTGTTCTTAAGAGAAGAGTGGAAACTAAACAAGCATCCATTTTCTGGTTATTTTGCATTTTCTTAGCAGCAGTTACTCATTATATGATTGGTTTACTCTTTTAACAGTCAATAATGTAGTATGTGTACAACTACAGAGAGGTGTTTAAGAAAATGATCACATTTTTGTATGTATATACTTGTGTTAGTAAATATAATGAAGACTTGGTTATCTGCATTAACTGTAACGAGTGTAGTCAACTTTCACATAACCCTGTGTGGACTGATTGGGGTAAAAGTGTGCCTGCCATAAAATTTTACAGAGTGCCATTCAATATGGTATTATGTATTTGATGTCAGAGTGACCAACTATTCATTTTACTCAACATTTCTTATTTAGCAACAGTCCATGGTAGAGAAGAATGAATACCAGTTGTAATAAACAGAGATACGTATAAAACTGTAGATATATATTGCAAAGGTTCTAGAGGTTACACAAATGCAATATGTAAACTGTATGATGGACAAAAGTATTTTTATGCTTGACATGAACATCACCTTACACTCCACTGCATCTTGAGTAACAAATACTTTTATAACACAACTGTTTTTTTGTATACAATAGATGTGTACATTTTAGTAAAAGCTTGCCAGATTTCATGGTAATACACATAGTAAGTTCAGAATTATAATCAATATTCCTTCTCCAATACGGAACCACCCCATGCATTTTTGGTTCATATAACGTTGGTGATTTTGGGGTAACTAGTTTTAATTAAAACAATTTATAAAAGTTGAGATAATAGTTTAGGACATGTAAAAGGAAGAGAGCTTAAACAATGCTTTTTCAGTGAGCAATAAATAGACTAGGCTGATAATTTTATATAGAAGTTTCTACTTTTAATTAAAGAAGTTCCAGTATATATTTACATTTGATATAACTGATCCCATAACCACCCATAGTTTTGCATAGCTGATTTCCTAGAAGTTTGTTTGTTTATTTGTTTTGAATTTCGTGCAAAGCCGTCCCTAATTTAGCAGTGTAAGACTAGAGGGAAGGCAGCTAGTCATCACCACCTACCACCAACTCTTGAGCTACTCTTTTACCAACGAATAGTGGGATTGGCCGTCACATTATAACACCCCCACGGCTGAAAGGGCGAGCATATTTGGTGTGACGGGGATTCGAATCCGCGACCCTCAGATTGCGAGTCAAGTGCCCTAACCACCTGGCCATGCCGGGCCTTTCCTAGTAGTGTTTCTAACTTTTGAAGATTTTTTAAACAGATAAGTTTGGTTAGATATTTATTATAAATAGTGTTACTATTAACTATTATGCTTTTTTTTATTATTTACAAGCATGTCTATCTAGAAACTATAATAAAGAAATATTTACTGTGTATGTGTCTTGCGTATTACATTTTAGTGTTCAGTGATAACTTTTACACACATGAAGTAGCAACACAAGAATGAGGAATTTTTTTTGTTGGATGAGGTTTTCGAGTGAAAGTTGCTCATGAAAATTTTACATCAAATAATTCTTCTGTCTGCTAAATTTTGAATGATTCAAAGAAAGTGGTAACCATGCTTATTCAATACTTTACACACTGACATTTTATGAGCATTATCTAAGACTTTATTAATTAATATTAATACTTAAAAAGGTTTAAAAAAATCAGTAACTTGTGTAATACTTATAACTGTGCATGTATAGATAAAAATTCTTGTTACTATATTTATTTTTGTTATTTATTACTTGGCCAAAGATTCACTCATAATACTCTTGTTAAAACTTTGGTTTCAAATACTGACCCAATGCTGCTCCTTACTTAACTTTTACCTTACCATTGCTTCAACAAATAGTACCTGTTTATATGAAATTAGAACAAAAATTTTAATTTTAAAAACTATGTACTTTGAGAAGCAACTTTATGCTTTATCTGATATTATTTAGCTTGAAAGGAAGGACAGAGAGAGAGAAAAATTCAATTTTGGACTAATTTTAATGCTAACTTGAAAAAACTGTGTTGGGTCTAGGTTTTTTGCTATCATTATTGAAAAACTCATTATCACCAGTAATGTTTAACAAAAAAAAATATATCCTTCAATAAGATTAAATATATCTTCAAATCAAGATGTAAAAAAAATTCATAATAGGAATGATTAAGAACAAAATCCTTCCTCCCCAGTAAATGTACTTGGTACTATGAAACGGCTACCTAAAACACACAGTTGTGTGGTTATGAGCTGTATAACTCCAGTCAACATAAAAGCAGCAAAAAATCTACCAAGCTCACTATACGAAAAATATAAAGAAGTTTAAGTAGTTTGTTTGGAAATTCAGGTCATAATTTATTTACATGGTTTTTGTAGTACAAAAATCAATTGTTTTTATTTGTGTGATTTGAACAGCAGTTTTGGAATCACTTAATTTCCAATTTTTCTTTTTTGCTTCTTCAGTGATGCCTTTTTTTCCCTTAATTGGTGTAAAGTAGAATTATTATAATCCAATATTAAAGTAACTTATATTGATTGTGTTAATTAACTGTAATATGAAAATAAGTGATTAAATACACATCTCAACATAATTTATGTTTGTTTTCAATCTGATTAGAATTATTTGAATTCTGAATGGCATTTCACTTTACTAAATTCACTCATTTTAAAGTGGGTTTGTTTTTACTAGTTTGAGGTACAAATAAAAAAACTATGGACTGATTATACTGTTAAATTTTATAGCAAGATACTAAGTTATGAACTAAATTTAAAAGCTGAGGAAACGTTTTGCCTTACCTTTCATTATTTATCCATATTAGTAAAAGTTTCCAGTATATATATCATTTTGCAATTCTTTTTTTATGGCTAAAAAATTTTACTTAACTAGCTAATGATTAAAATCTATTGTTTCGTTAACAACATAACCACACTTAATAGAAGGTTTAGGCTGTGATGTCAAATGATGTTTCTTTATAAGTAGCTACAGCCTGTAGTAGAGATAGATGATTCATGAAGACAGGAAAATGAAAGTTACCAGAAATGTTGCGATTTAACCAACTGATCATAAGCTTTGGTAACCACAAAGAAAATTCATCAGAAATCACAACCCTACTTTTGAAGGTTCTTGATAGCAAAGAATTGTCTCTACATTATATAAATAGATAGATTTGCATATACAAATGGATACCCAAGTATTTCAGGTTTGGCCATCATGTCATTAACTGAACAATGCAAGTTTCTCACTATAAACTAATTCTGTTCAGTTTTGAGTAGTATGCTATACAAATGTTAGCTTCTTGCTAAAAATAAACTTCTGACTAGAGTCATACCTATGATAAACTGCAAACTGTGTTTTTATTATGAACAATCCTAACTCTGGAGCAAATATAGTTATAAATTTTCCACAATAAGTAGCTATGGTAAATACAGTTAACGTTTTGCTAATCTTGGGTAACTTAGTTTCATTGTTTTGGCCCACCAGTCCACAAGATGACTGAAAAAAAAATCTTATGTTTTAGAATATAACTACTGAAGTATATTGTTTTATAATGAAATTTAAAAGTACTTTATATAAGTTAATATTGTATTAAGTGGTCCATGAAAATTTGGGATTGGAACTAGCTGGTCCTCAATTGTAAAAAGGATGGGAACAACTGGTATAGACAATAATAATGGATAAATGTAGGAACAGCAATAAAACTGTCCAAGATAATTTGTTTAGGACATGAGATCTTATTACATACAAACCCGAGATATTTAAACATGACCACTTGCATACAAATTTAATAAAAAAAAATTAAATGGGACAAATTTACGTAACATCTATTTTACTCGAAGTAATGTATATGAAAACACAGTATCAAAATATAAACAACACACTTTCAGAATAAATTATTATTGTATGTAAATTTTACATTTGTTAAGAGAAAACCATTGGATAAAGTGTTTGTTCATGAGTATCTCTAGAAAACTACTACTAACACTGTTTGTAGATGTGTATATTTCTACAGCTTGGGTAATTGAACTATGTAGAAGTCAGTCTCTTTGTGCATACCATGGGTATTCAGCTCTGAAACCCTTAAGTACACCCAGAAAACATGCAGTAACACTGCACCAAAAAAAAGTTCCTGTAAAAAACCATGTTGCTGACTCAAATTTAGTCAATACAAGTATGAAATTGGAGATTTTAATATGAAAGCAAATTTTGGTGATACTGTTTAAATATAGTATATCTGAATTTGAGAAACAGAAAAATTCAAGCAACACCAAACAATTACTTTGAATCAATTTTGCATAGAATTGTTTTAAATAGTGATAACAATGGCTAAGTACTAATGACATAACTATTTTATCTGTGGGGAACAACCATAAAATATTTATAGAAGCCTTTACCCTTAGCAATATCATCTGGCTAAAACAGCAGTAAACTTAAATAGTTTAACTGTTTCAGGGTTATTTAGATAAGACAAAAACTGAAAGCAGTAAATTCTACAAAAACTTGTAGTTTAACAGGTTTCAAGATAAATCTATAATAGATGCAAATGAAAGCATTAAGTCCTATAAATACACAAAGTTTGGTTTCAAAGTTCTTTAGAGGAGGAAAATTATGAAATTGAAAGCAATAAGTTATAAAAAATGCTTGCAGTTTAACTATCTTCATGGTCTTGTTTCTTATAAACACAAGGACAATAAAAAATGGGCAAAACAGTAATAAAACTGGAGATTTCAATAATATTTACTTTCATATTTAAAAATTCAAAAGCATTTCTATTGCATGGTCATTAAATTTATAGAGCTCAAGGATAGTCCCATAAAAATACAGGGGAAGAAGTAAATCCATTAAATACTTGTGGTTTAACTGGATTCAAGGTCTCTTATAAATACTGGTTTTTAGATTAAGTTGAGAAAACACAGCTGGAACCCTTAAATGTTACAAATATTGTACTTTAACTAGTTTCAAGGATTTTTTTTTCTTCAAAATAGTGAAAGTAAAAAATGTGTAAATAAGTACTTAAATTTAGTTTCTGAATAATATTTCTTATTTTGACATTTCAAAATTCAAAACAAATATTTGCATATTTAAATTTATTTAGAAATAAATGCTAGTACTATAAAAAACAACTGGAATAAGTAAACACTTGTATTTTAATTGGTTTCAAGGTTAATCAAAAAAAGCTATACAACTGGAGGCAGCATATTATATAAAAACTTATAGGTTAAGTGGTTTCAAGGTTAATTCAAGCAGCTGAAAGCAGAAAATTAAAAAATACTTATAGTTTAGCTAGCTTCAAGTTGAACAAAAAACAGTGGAATTAAAAATGGGAAAAGCAGTAATAAATTTTTGGATTTTAATAATATTTTGAAAACATTCATTTACATATTCAAATATAAAAGGGGTTCATGAAATATATTTACTTTGGATTAACAAAAAAAAATATATATATATATATATAACCAGTAGTATTTTGCATGACTTTTTTTTATATACCAAACATTTACTTACAAAGTATCACCAGTGAACTAGCACTGGGCTAACACAGTTATGTAAAGTGGCTGCATAGTAAACTTCTTACTGAGAAATACAACAAAGAATTATAAGATTAAATTTTATTTTGAGATACGAAAATCTCTGTATAATATTTTTCCTGTTTACTGTTGGAAGTAGATGCATTTTCTCACATTATGTCTGGTATTACTCCACAACAATCTTCCAACCTTCTTCTCTGAAGAACATACCAAAATAGATGTCTAGGTATTTACAACCAGTATCCTGAACTGTCTTCCAATCATAAGTTATCTGTCCATCTCCACTTTCAATCATTACCCTGACTTTTTTGTTTGAATCCAAAGGTTCCACGTAAAAGTAAACAGATGATCCACGGCACAGTGGAAGCAACTCTGTCATCATTTTATAGCCGTTAACAAAAACAACGCCTAAAACAGATACCAAGAATGTAAAAAAATATCAGTTAAGAAAAAGAGATAATATATTCATAAACGTATACCTAATTTGTGTATTTGAGCATCATAACACAAATAGCAAAATGTTATCAATAATACGATTAAAAATGTAAACAGAAACCACCTTGTCAATGTTTCAGTCATGAAAACTTTTTCATTAAAAAACAACTCACAGTGAAGAAAATGAGTGTAAAAACAATACTGACCAAATATGTTCTTGGACAAAATCGAAAGAATACTGTAGTTAGGAGAAAACTAACTGATCAATAAAATTTTAAAAATATACATTAAAACTAGCCAAATCTATATGCAGAAAAATAACCAAATATAACAGAGTAACACTCTCCAAAAGAAAGTAACTTGGACAAAATATTTTACACAATATTACTTACCAATATCTGACACAGTAACATTCTTTCAGAGAAAATGAACAGAATGAAATACGCTTGAACAACAGGTTAACCCGACCAATATCTGACACAGTAACATTCTTTCAGAGAAAATGAACAGAATGAAATACGCTTGAACAACAGGTTAACCCGACCAATATCTGACACAGTAACATTCTTTCAGAGAAAATGACTAGAATGAAACATACTTGACTATCAGGTTAACCTGACTAACATCTAACAAAGTAACATTCTTTCAGAGAAAATGACTATAATGAAACATACTTGACTATTAGGTTAACCTGACTAACATCTAACAAATTAACATTCTTTCAGAGAAAATGACTATAATGAAACATACTTGACTATTAGGTTAATCTGACTAACATCTGACAAAGTAACATTCTTTCAAAGAAAATGACTATAATGAAACATACTTGACTATTAGGTTAACCTGACTAACATCTAACAAAGTAACATTCTTTCAGAGAAAATGACTATAATGAAACATGCTTGACTATTAGGTTAATCTGACTAACATCTGACAAAGTAATGCTTTTTCAAAGAAAATTATCAAGATGAAACACATTAGAAGAACAGGCTATCTGCCCAACATTCTTGCAGTTAAAGGAAATATTACCCAACCAAAACTAATGGAGAAAACTAACCAACCACTACAAAGCAACACTCTTCAATAGGAACTAACTTTGTAACTTAGTAACAAAAACAATTTTAAGGAAAGAAGCCTGGTCAAAAAGCTCCTCAAAAACATAGTTGCTTAGCCAAAATTTAATTTAAAAAAAATGTTGCTTGACCAACATGTTCCTGAAGAGCAATTTGACAACAACTACAAAATAACTTGAATAAGACTGCTTATCAAAGCATATCTAAAGTGACACACAAATATTATTCAGTAACACATTTTGAAGAAAAAAATTAATGTTAGAGAAAATTTGAAGATGATGATGATGACCAAAAACTTGTGATAAAAATTTAGCCATATTCTACTAAACAAAAGTTTGGTTAGTCAAAACGCTCTGGAGAAATGAGGAAATCCTTAATAGCCATGACACTTAAAATTCTTTTAGGCAGAATTAGAATAAATTAATCTGAGACTTTTTTTTTTTATTAGTTATATTTTCATGTGCCAGCGATACCAAGTGTGGTGCGCATGTATATCAGATTCAATTTTATTACTCATCAGGATCTCTGCCAGCCTACCCTCAAATTCTTTTAAGCAGGATTAGAGTACATTAACTTATGAGACATTAGACGTGGTCAAAATCATAAATCGAAAGGGTATGACCTTTTTAGTCAAAAATGTAATCAGATCTCAAATTGGTCAACAGATGACAGAGCTATGAGCTAAAATTTTGTACTTGAAAAACTCAGAGCCATTCAGATATTCATTCAAAATATCCCAAAGAGAAATGTCTAACCATCACATTTCTAAACAGAAAACTTATTTGGATAAAACACATTTGCTAGAAAGTAAATTGCATATAACAAACACAAAGAAAGAGTTACTTGGCCACAATACGCTTGGAAGAAAATGTTGCCTTGCTAAAACCCTATTATTAAGAAAGTTATACTTTACATAATATTTCTAAAAAAAAAATGTTAAACCAAAATGAAAGAAAAAGCTACATAAAGAATACCAACAATAACTTCTTAAAGAAACAAAATGCTTTTAACACAAATTTGACTAATAAGCTCCCAAATATAATAATCATCTATCCAAAATGCTCCTGAAAAAAAGAAGTTAGCTCTTCAAAAGCTCAAGATCAAACAACTTTGTTAAAGTTTCTTTAATATAACATTGATCAGATGACATTAGCAAAACTTACCTAACTGAGAACCTATCTAACTGAAAAGTAAGCTTGTATTTTATATTTGTGACAAAGCTACGAAGGCTACCTGCTACTGACTAGAGGGGAAAGCAACCAGTCAGCAGCACCCACCATCCATGCTAAGGGATTGATTCTCAGTCTTGAAATAAATCTGCTGCTAAAAGTGCAGAGAATATTTTGTGACATCACACAAGTTCACCTGCTCCCTAATCCAGAACTCTACCAATGGGCCAACCCATGCCCCAATTGAATAGAAAGTGATCTAACAAAAACAATGCTGATTACAATGTAGAAAAATATAAAATTGTTTCTGTTTAAAAATTTTTTTTTTAGCTGAAATAGAAGTGTTATATTAAAAATTACCAAGTATCTTAAATAAGCAATATATGCTTGTTTATTAGAATAACCTAAGAGAAAAGCATTGAGCTATAATTATGTTTACAAACTTCAGAATACAAATGTTTTAATCTTACTGCTTCAAAGGTTTCTTTAGAGTTTTTACTATCTACAAATACACTGTGCAAACCTGGTTTTTAAATTTTTTAACTGGTTTTATGTTTTCTTCTTTTTGAAGTTCTCATCAAATTTTCAAGTTCTTTGTGTCATTCAATTCTGAGCATAGTTATAATAAAATAATTCTTATACTTCTAATATACCTTACCGACTAAGGTAAACCATGAGTTCACAATAGTACAATTGAATTAACTTATGATGAACACATACTTTTTACTTATAATGTTTTCCACATTATTACATTAAAATTTCTGCCCCCTTTCTTACCTTGTAGGTTGATAAAAACAACACCCTGCTGAAGGAATGTGAACTTTGTACTTTGAGTATGAACACTTGCATCAATTAATGCTATACCTTCATCCAATTTTGGTGTCTTTCCAACGTCCAGAATTCGGAAGTGTAAGGAATGAGGGAGACTAGAAAATACAAGTAAAAATCCTATATGTAGATAATACCTAAATCAACAAAAATTAGAGTAATTTTTAAAAGACTGTGTCAATAGTATACATCAAATAAAAATTTTAAAGTTATCAAGTAAAAACAAAATGTGGTTTCTGTGCATCATCTCATCAATCAGACAACATAATAAACATGGGGTGTACAGCAACCTTTATCATAAACAGCCTTGATAAACAAGGAGTGTACAGTTTCACCTCATCAGTCAGACAATATAATAAACATGGGGTGTACAGCAACATTCATCATAAACAGCCTTGATAAACAAGGTGTGCAGTTTCATCTCGTCAGTCAGACAACATAATAAACATGGGGTGTACAGCAACATTTATCATAAACAGCCTTGATAAACAAGGAGTGTGCAGTTTCATCTCGTCAGTCAGACAACATAATAAACATGGGGTGTACAGCAACATTTATCATAAAGAGCCTTGATAAACAAGGAGTGTGCAGTTTCATCTCATCAGTCAGACAATATAATAAACATGGGGTGTACAGCAACATTTATCATAAACAGCCTTGTTAAACAAGGAGTGTGCAGTTTCATCTCATCAGTCAGACAATATAATAAACATGGGGTGTACAGCAACATTCCTCATAAACATCCTTGATAAACAAGGAGTGTGCAGTTTCACCTCATCAGTCAGAAGAATTAATAAACATGGGGTGTACAGCAACATTCCTCATAAACATCCTTGATAAACAAGGAGTGTGCAGTTTCACCTCATCAGTCAGAAGAAGTAATAAACATGGAGTAAGCATCAAAATGTGACATTGGTAGCATGAAATATCCAACATAATCTCAGCAGTCAGAAGAAATAATAAGTATAATGTATGCATCTGTGATTTACAAATATCACATATCTCACTCTCCTGTAGTTCATCTTTTATATCATACAAAATGTTTAAACTGTTCTAGGGATCTAATATGAAACATGCTAAAATTGGTTGAAGTCAAGTGCCAATTCAACCCTAGGTGTTACTTTCCACAGCAGGAATCATTCAAAGAAGCTACTTGCTGTTTCATTGAAAAGTTGTATTGTATCCTACATTATCTTGTGTATCTAGGATTCTTCTACAACTGTCACATGGAACAGATATGCTTCCAGATATGTGATCCAATTGTGTGATTGGTAAGCTACAAAGAGGATGTGGACTGAGGAAACAGTTTTGTCATTTTAAATCAGAATCATTTCTGTTTTGCTAGAGTTAAAGACATGCTATGGAAGTTTCATTTGCATGTTTCATAACAGTCATTCCACTGATAGTGTGACAACTTCTGTATAATCCAGCCCAATAACTTTCAGTTGATTTTCAGGTAAGGTTAATTTTCATGTTATCTTACCATATACAATCTATTTTGTTTATTTAAATACAGTTAATTTATTTATCTCGACTTCAACCACATCACAGTAGCTCTCCTGTAGCATAAACAGCTATTTTTCTTCCCCATTTCTTTAGTCATTAAAATTTATGTTTCTGTCCTTCTTTACATACAGTCTTGTCTCTTTCATTAACAGTGTTACTATAACAAATCACTACACCAGTCCTTCTACAGAAAAAGTCCATGAACTTTTGGTTGTTGTGTAGGGTAGGTAACTGTATGTTTGTTCTATCCTTGAAATATCACATAGAGGCATCAATCATTATGCAGACTTATGTGCAACATCATTTTATCAAATAGCAAAGTTGGTAGCATGAAATGTGTAAATTCATTTCATCATTCAACAAGTGTAAAAATATTAAATGCCATGCCATCAACCAACAAGTTAATAAAATGAAATGTGAAATATAAATCAACATGGTTGATAACATGGAATGTGCAACTTAATGTTATAAATCAGAATGCATCAAATGTACAACATCATCTCTTAAACCAACACTGATAACTTCAGTGCATACAAAATTAACTTATGAACTTGAAAGCTTAATAATTGTGTAATGTGTAACACCATCTGATTGTTTAGCAACTTTGTTAACTGTCAGGTGTGGAACATTATCTCATCAGTCAGCAAGGTTGATATGTGTAGTGGATGTGTATTATCACCTCAATAGCATGGAGAATACTTGGGGTTTCTGGACAATTATTTCATTGATCAGCAAGGTTGATATGTGTAGTGGATGTGTAACATCAACTCATTAGCCAGCATGTGGAGTACCTTGGGGTTTCTGAACAATGATTTCATTGGTCAGCAAGGATGATATATGTAGTGGGTGTGTAACATCAACTCATTAGCCAGCATGTGGAGTACCTTGGGGGTTTCTGAACAATTATTTCATTGATCAGCAAGGTTGATATGTGTAGTGGATGTGTATTATCACCTCAATAGCATGGAGAATACTTAGGGTTTCTGAACAATTATTTCATTGATCAGCAAGGTTGATATGTGTAGTGGGTGTGTAACATCAACTCATTAGCCAGCATGTGGAGTACCTTGGGGTTTCTGAACTATATTTCATTGGTCAGCAAGGATGATATGTGTAGTGGGTGTGTAACATCAACTCATTAGCCAGCATGTGGAGTACCTTGGGGGTTTCTGAACAATTATTTCATTGATCAGCAAGGTTGATATGCATAATTGGTGTGGAACATCAACTCATTAGGAAGTAGGGTAATACCTTGAGTTTCTGAACATATATTTCATTGGTCAGCAAGGATGATATGTGTAGTGGGTGTGTAACATCAACTCATTAGCCAGCATGTGGAGTACCTTGGGGTTTCTGAACATATATTTCATTGATCAGCAAGGTTGATATGCATAATTGGTGTGTAACATCAACTCATTATCCAGCATGGGGAGTACCTGGGATTTGTTAACAATTATCTCATTAGTTACCAAGGCTAAGTATTCATAGAGTATAATACCATTTCATTATCCACCAATAATTACCATTAAATGTTGAACATCACGTCATTGGCTGGATAATATATACGAGGTGTATATTATGTTCTCAGCTGAGTTAGCATGATTAATATCTACACAAGATGCTACATAATCTCTCTCAAGGACCATATAAACTTAAGAGGTGATTTTCTATTATTGCTTAATTACAAGACTGAAAAATAGAGCAATATCTGTAATACTTTCTGAAAGAAAAATGTACATTTTAAAGATTTCAAATATCATCAAAGTAAAAATGGAATAAAATAAAAACTTGATGCAAAAAGAAAAAAATTCACTGAAAAATAAAATGCATTTACTTACAGAATACAAAATAAAATAACTCATAAAAAGCAATTATTCACTACAAGAAATCTTGTAAGCTAAGATGATAAACTTTAATTACATGAGAACATTGAGAAAACTATATACATAAGCATCTACAGTTTATATAAATCCTCAATTATTTTATAAAGCAGATAATGAAAAAAAATTTTACAGCAAGTAACATATGTGACTTGACAGAGCCTTGTGATATCACCATGACAACTTGTGTATGACTTACAACACCAAATAATGAAAATGGCTTATTAATACATTTTGCATAAAATTTTCATAAACAAGATGAACAACTTAGTTTTCTACCGTCCTTAGTTAGGAAATCAATAATACTGTTTAATTTCAATATGTTGTATAATTCTTGTTCGTAGACATGTTTATGTCTTTCAAATCATATTAACAGGTACTTAGGAGTTGCTTAAAAGTCGCAATTTTTGTATTCTTCGGATATAAGAAAACATATCTATCATAATCTTTTGGAGATTAAAATCATGGTAACATTGAACACATTGTTTCACCATATTAGCTTGACACTATCAATACTTACTCATTTTAAATCAATCCTATTTTAACATTTCTTAGAAAGTATGTCCTTGAAGACCAATAGATGATCTAAAAGTCAATGTTCCAATGAACCTGAACATTTTAATATATATAATACTATATTCTGAAACATATGTAGTTTACATTGAATTAAAAATTTGAAATTTAGAGATATTTATGACTAGCTAAGTAATATTTAAATGTACTCATTAAGTATATTAATAATGAAATATAGAAAGAGAATTGTAGCTTTTAAAAATAGGAAATTAATTTACCTGAGCAAAGGTGTTTTGGAACAAAGCACACTATGAGAGTCGGAATATAATTTTGTGGCAATCTTCCTCTCATTTGTTAACATATAATCAATGTTTGAATGATCCCACTCTGAAAAACAAAAACATGCAATTAATCTATCAAAACATAAAATCTTGACTTTACATTTATTAAATATATCACGCCAGTGGATAAAACTATAAGTACTCTCAATTAAGTTTAATGAAGTTATATATATTTAATGGTAAATTACATTCAGGTTGAAGATTGGAAGTACTTAATGTTTATTAGATCCATCTTAAAAACAAATGCCATAGTAATTTGAAAATAAATGCTTTGAAATTGAAGTAAAAATTGCAGTTTTTTACTAATTAGATGTAAATAAAAAGTGAAAACTGAATGTAACTGTATACAAGTTTTGTTATCACTGTTAACAATTTAAAATATGTTATCTGTCTAGTTTGAAAAAAAGGTATAAAAAATGTAACAGCTCTTCACAGACAGTTCACACAATATTGTAATACTAACAACAGATAAATTATAAGCAATATACAATTCTTATTTATATTATTAACAAGAGTAAGAGCAACTTGTAATAGGCACTTTACTTTTGTTTATTAATTATAACTAATAAATTTAAATATATTTTTTACCTTAACATGTGCAATTTTTCCAAAAGTAATATATCATGATAATAAAAAGATAATTCAGAAAATAATAAAACTTGAAGGTGGGAATGTATCTAAACTTTTATGCATATAATTTGGCATTTTACTATTTGCCTAGGAACTGATGGAGATAGGTGTAGAAGTACCAAAAAATGTGTCAGTAAAGGTTACTTGACTAGACAAGTCAATCCACAGAAGTTCATTTTAGTATCAATATAAAGAACTTTTTTTGAGGGAAAACCTTTTATAATCATTATGTAATTCTAGCCTAGCCAAGATACAAATGATCACCATACTTGTTAACCTTTCCATACTTCATGCAAACTTCCCTTTTTTTTCTGGTATGTATTAAACTGTAGCATATGCTTATCAACTGATGTATCAGGGTGAGACTAAAGTTGGGTGATTAGTGGAATTTGCTAATTGATTAAATGATGAACTCATGAACCAATTATATTCAACTAATTGATTACTACATCATCAAAGGAAAAAAAAACTAAAAACTTGTCACACTAACTATCGGAGTTCAATACCTGTAATGGGGAGAGCACAGGTAACCCCCATTATGTAGCTTTTCACTTAATAACAAACAAACATAGCAGTAATTTTTTGATTATTTGGATAACTGGAAATCCTAATTTCTATTTTTCAATTAGTTGATTGTTTCCATGAGTTGTGACATTGATTGACTAAGCTAAACAAACTTGAATTAATTGAAAATAATAATGATAAATCATAATAGCATTATTTTGATTGCTGGATAGTTCAAATAATTGAAAGCAGTAATAATCAGAAACACTAATTTCGAATAGTTCATTATTTTCCTGACAACAAGTGAATTAATTGTAATTTTGATTACTTGATATTAATATTTATATTTTTGTGAAATTAATAAATTTAATCATAATTTTGATTAATCAATTATTTTACGTGACATCAATCGATGTGGTCACTGCTCAAAGCTAATTGACTATATTAATTAATCACCCATTTCTATATGTGATTACAGCTCTGTTAAGTATTGTTAATTAAAAATAGGAGAAAATAAGAGCCTTTCTTATATTGAAAGCCTGAGCTTGACTAATATGGTAGTGATTAAACTTACTCCTGCAAATACATTATATCTGTCAAATTGACCTTTAACAATAAATCATTCACACCATACTAAAAAAATGTGATTTTTCTTGTATTTTGTTTAATACTACTACCACAATGTCATCACTAAAGTGTACTTTAATTTTAGTTTTTGCCTTTTACTACAACTATTTGACAAATATATGTATGCAGCCTTCTCTGCAGTTCATAAAACAAACATTAACTGATGTAGAAAATGATCCAATAAACACATCTCTTGTGTTGTATATGTTCATCAATCACTATACTCAAACAGGTGTAGAATATGGTCAAATAACTGAAAACTCACATAAACGTTATCAGACAGAGCACGCTGATAACTTACCATATGGAGGTAATGTGGTGGTACTGGTATAAATGAGAGACCAGGGTCCAAAATTGGAGTCATTTTTAGGTCGTCTTGATACCCTAAATGAATAGGGAACATCACACTCAACATCTCTAATAATGTAATGTGTATCATTTCCTTTGTACACATCATAAAAATTGCTTACAACTTCTGGGTTGTTCCTAGCATCGCCACGACAACACTGAAGATGATACTTGTGTGGTTCTTGGTTATTTTCATCATCAATCTGAAAGCAAAACAAAATAATATCTTTTAGATCCAATATTCACAGAAATATCACACTGTAGACTCTAGGTGTTTTACCTTCACATTCATTTTAATTAGTCCTTTATGGAATTAATTTTAATTAGTCCATTATGGACTTGAAATCAAAGGTACATACAGCGATTTAAATCTATCTTTTGTCTGCCACTTGTTGCTGCCCAGAGAGCTTTTTGATCAGTACAATAACTTGTCAGCTAACTTGGCTGGACATTGATGGCACTTAAACAGTTTTTAATGATATACGTGTAATGAAGATCTGGGGGGAAAAAATACCAGTTTCTTCAAAATTGTTTAAAAAAATCTAAATTCTGATTTCATAGGCCAAAATTATTTAGCAGTCTTAATTGCAGATGAGGTTAGGTGTTGGTCTATCTAGATGAAATATATACTGGTTTTTCACTTTCATATATGCAAATACAACAACAGAAACAACTTATTTATGATTGCCAACATTGGTGTCAATAGAAATTACTGTTAAAGCCAACATAATCACATTGTAGTGGGTAATAAAGATTATGAACATTTTGATCATGTCAACACTTAAATACAAAATTTCACAGCAGTAAACAAACTGTAGTAGGGAATAAGGCTTCTTATCTTAGATGTAGACTAGAAATAATGTATTTTTTCAAGTGTAGGTACAATATAACAAGGGTGATATTTTCTGATAGAGATGCTAGAACAATCTTTGTATTTACGCAAATGCTTGAAGTTTTACCAATCTCCTGAATTCACATTATTTTTAATCATTTATGTTAGATAACAAATAAAGATATTTTAATTACTTTTGTGTAAGACAAAATAGAACACAAATAAATAAAAGAACTAGAATCCAGGATTTGAGCCACTAAAATTCCAAAATCCTGGGATTCAAAAAACAAAAACTTTGGGATTGCAATCCCAAATCCTGGTGTATAATGTTTAGGAATATAATTATTGTAAGGTCAAGGTTTTTCACAGAGATTTTATATGTACCTTGGTTAAGTTATGAAGAAGCTCGGTGACTAATTTTGCATTTCTATACAGGCAGACTAAAATGTTTTCTAAAACGTAGTGAGAAAAAATAATACAGAAAAAACACTTTAAAAAAAATATTTTCTTTAAAATAGAGATATTTAAGTCAGAGGAATGAGAAAATGTGCAAATTCAAAATCAAATCATAACTAGGACGAGGAAGTTTGAGATATATGTTTTTAAACTTTTTATGTGTTATAATTAATTTGAATCCATCCACAGTTTTATGCATTAAATCGTGTATCTACTACCTATTCAGCCAAGGTGCATACATTTTTATTAATTCCTCTCAAATTGTGTACTTTTTAAAAGTACATAGTTTTATTAAAGCATACCGTAAATACCCGCATATAGTGTGCACTTTTTTTTTCTAAACTTTTTGGGCTCAAATATGAAGTGCACACTATATGAGAGAACAGTATCTTTCAGGTGAAATTTTCATTCTGGATGTTGCCTCAACTCATTTTATATTCTGATATAATCAGTGTTTGTCACTGATTGAATTTTGGTACAAATAGGCCTACTATTATTAAGGTAAGTCAGATAATATTTAATTACGTGTCTAAGTAAGAACAAATTGTACTTAAATTATGCAATAAAATAACTTAATACTTCTTTAATTAGGTGACATAACAGTAAAATAGTTAATTATTAGTAGAGCCTTTTCAACTGCACTTGCACTGCTAATGAAGTGAATAATATCTTTCCATACAAGAAAAAATAACATCCACAAAGAAGAAAATATTTGGTTTAAAATATTATTTGCTGTTTGCACTGGGCTGTAAGATTATTTTACTATCCTCTACTACAATACATTCCCAGTAACATGAAAAATAAATACTTACCAGTGAAAATGCACAGTTTATATGCTGGTATTTTCTAATAATGACCAGTTAAAATATAAAATTTGGCAAAACTTTTTCAATTTTTGGGAGCTGTTTGCACTGGGTTGTAGGATGATTTTACTATCCTCTACTACAATACATTCACAGTAACATTCAATCATAGTCACTCTCCTATATTGTATGTACAGGGAATGGTTTAAAAACACGTAAACACAACTTACATGTGATCATAAGTTCAGCCTTTGTTCATTAAGTAATACAGTTAATTATTTGGTAGTGGTATTCACTCACACACACACGTACAATTATTAATCAACATAACAATACACCACTCACTATACGAAGGCTGATCAGTTGTTAGAATTGGTATGTAACACTATACATTGGTTTATTGATTTTTCCTAGTATGTGAGGCAAAACATTAATGTGCACTGTACACGGAGTCCCACTATATGTGGATATTTATAGTAATCGATGACATATTAGGATTCATTGTTAACTCTAAATGGGAATACATTTTTACATAACTGAAATTTGAAATATTTTATGTTTTACTACTTTTCCACATATAATAGTTTTATCAAATGCTTTTATTATGCTTCTTATGTTCAGAAAAGTAAATCAGTTGCATCATTAAAAAAATAAAACTATTCTATATATACTAACTACCTTTCAAAAGTTTGGAAATACATACGTTTTTGTAGACAACATAAAAGTACACACTTATAATCAAATCTGTTGATTACAGAGCAATAACTAAATCATTTAATGGAATGCATACAATTACAATCATAACTTAATCATTTTCACTTAAATATTAAATTCATCAAAGTGAGCAAGATGTACATTAATATCTATCTTACACAAAACAAAGGGAATATCCTAGAAACTCCGTACAGCTTAGCAGTAAGGTGTAGAGATCATAATTTGATGCTAAATTGTATAAACAAATTAAAGGACATTTACAGAATTACAAGTACAATGAGTAAAGAAAATAACCCCAGTATTCTATAAAGACATGCTATACCCTCGACTGTTAGACTTATTAGCCAAGGTTTTTTTTTTCCAACAGGACAATGATTGGAAACATAAATTTAAATTATGCCAAGGCTACATTGAAGGCTAGAAACAAGGTAGAGCTTCATAACATGGTTTGGTAATTGCAATCATCAGAATTATTACCTACTGAACATGTATGAAATAAAATCAACAAACATGCAAAAACCTATATCACACATGATGTAACACAACTATGGCAATGTATTCATAGAGACTACAATGCCCTAACACCAGAATATTTTGGTAAACTGACCAACATAGGGCAATGAAAAAATAAGCTACTTTAATTAATGTAATAATTAAGTGAAAATAAATAGATTATGAATGCAGGATATCATAGTAATTAAGAAAAAAATATATAATTGTACTTGTACAGGAATTCATCACAAGTGTTTTTATTTTATTTGCAAAAAGATGTCTACTTCCTTTGAACAGTAGTACATACAGTCTTCCCTCTTTGTAGAGCTGGGAGATTAGAGGAATTTCCTAATCAATTAATCATTGGGTTAATTAATCAGTTACATTTAACCAATTGATTATTCTCATAAGAGATGGTTAAGAAAAACAATAAACAACAAATAACACTAAACATCAGGCTTTGCAACTTGGAGTGAGCAGAGAACAAAGAGTGATTTTTGTAGATTCGTGCTTAACATCAAATAAACATAATGGCAATATTCTGATTACTTGGACAGTTGGAATAATTGAAAATATTAATAATTGGAAAGCCTAATTTTGATTAGTTGATTATTTTTGTGAGTTGGGACATTAAACTTAACAAACTTGAATTAGTTGAAAATAATAATGGCAATACTTCAATTACTAGATAGTTGAAATAATCAAAAACAGCAATAAAAGGAAATGCTAATTGATAAGTTTTGTGACATTAATTGATTTAATCATAATTCCAATTACTCAATAGTCAAAATAATCAGAACCTAATAAACAGAAACACCAGTTAATTATTTTCATGACATTAATTGATTTAATCATAATTTTCATTAATCGATTATTTTATGACATTAACCATGTAATCGATGCTCATAGAGTACATCAATAAATCAAGATAATCACCCAAAGATGTTTTTTTTTGGTAACAAACTACAAAAGCATTTATTAATTAATGAAGACAATTCATTTAAACATACAGAGCAACTTGGATTATCATATTTAGAATTCACCTCATTCCAATGGACAACAAGAGCCCCTGGTTTTTCCTCCACATTAGTGATTTCAATAGCATTTTGCACTAAGATGACTCCATCAGACAGAATAGCTTGCATGAGGTCTTTATATAAATTAGAGTTGAAATCCACAGAAAAGTGGGGTACTTCTGATGGGGCAGGAACTTCAGGAAGGCTGAAAGTGAACAAGTACTAGCTAAACTACATCAAAGGCCTTAAGCTTATACAAGCAAATGTTATTTACACCTGATGTAAAGTAAACCATGCACAACAATGTTTAATTTTCAAAGCTTAATTATATAAGATGAACAAATGCAAAAGTTTATCTATGTTCCTTTTCAGCTAAGTATCTTCAGTTTAGCTTGAGATAAAGGTCTCATAAGCAGACCATAAATGTACATTTTCTGTAACATTATTTTTCACAGCAATCCTATTAACTAATTCTTATTACTCATAACAATCAATGTGCATGTTTCATTCAGTACAAACTCTGAAAAGTATTTTTTCACAAGGAACTAAACACTGAGCATTATAACAATTCCTTAGTGTAACACAAGACAAAGCAATGATTTGTTAACATTGACAGCCTAAGTGAGAAATGTTCTTTAGTTTTATAAACAAACCATGCTAGCATTAAATGTTACACATTCCTGATATCAAACTAATGAGAACGAAGAATTGTGTATTTGTTATTATATACAATCCTATTCCATAAATATTACATAATACCAAATATCAGTTTTGGAAATATATTCTAGTCATATTAGGATTCACGCATGGTTAGAGGTGATTTACTCTTTTTTAAACTTGTTAAAAATATGTAATTTCATTCATTTATAAGAAGAAAATGTAGAAGACCAGCCTGAAAACAATGATTGAGCATTTAATTTGGTTGTTTTCACTTTCAGTGATTAAAAAAAGATTTTAATTTACTTCAATTATTTTGATAGCTAGCCATCCATACTAAAATGTAAATTATTAAGAAAAATTGATACTACCCCATACATAGCAAAGTTGAAAAAAATGTACAATACTTCCTCTCAAAACCACAATACTTGTGTGTATATGTATATTAAAACAGGCTAGTTTTAATTTAACTGAACTAAATAACTTACCTGTCAAAGAGTTTACAAGTCACCTGCAATCGTGCATGAATAATCCTATGCAGGTGTTATACGTTTACAAGGCTAAATATCAAGCAATTAAGTAAAATAAAAATAATATTTGGAAAAGCGATAGTTATAGTTTACACTGTTTTTGAATTTCTTCAGCATGTAAAGTTAATATTTAGATAAAATTAATCAGCAAAGTAATAGAATATAGTCAAATGTGCAATCAGTTGGAGATTTGTAGATACACTTGAAATATATATATTTTGTGACCAAACAAATTCAAACATGAAATAAATGCATCTAAATGGTGTATGATCATGTTAAAACATAAACTTGAAAAATATAAATCAAAAGATTTTTGTAGAAGATTATATGAGCAACTAAATTCTTATTTGACAATGTGTATCATCAAAACAAAAATTATGGCTGCAAAAAGGCAAAATGTTTTAAGTATAACAGCAGCAGCTAAGAAGTACATTTTTTATGTGGAAATGTTAAAGTCTGTACAGTTAAAAACACATGTTTACAAATTCTCAGAACCCCCTAAAAATATTTTATATGTTTAACAAGCTTACAAGGTAACAAAGTATAGTATAATTAGCATATGATATTTTAAAAATTATATTAGAAATAAATAAAACATGTTTCCATATAACAATGTGTTTTGGTTTGGTTTTCCATGTAGTATGCATATTATAGCACTAAATGTCAAGTAGAACATAACCTATTCCACAGATACGATGTTCTTTTGTATGCACCAAAATCTACACTTCTGCAATACACAGAACCAATAGAAATAAGATCTGCAAACTTCAACACTAAGTTAAGAGATTGACATTTTAAAACATGTATTTAATCCAATTAAAAGAGAAATCAAGCACTACAATTAGTGGTCAGCAATTATTACTTTGGAAATTTGATTTGATGTTTGTAAATGATCCTGATTATTCTAATTAGATTTTGAGAAGAAATGTAACATGAAAACAAGACAATGTTACAACTTCCCCAATTAAAGTTTTGGAAACTAATAATAATTGAATATAACTACAAGCAAGTCAATATAAAATAACCAGTTATGTCCCACTTGAGTGCAAAATTATTGAACACTGGTAATCTAACTTTTTGGCATGTTTATTCTTAGTAAAGCAAGTTCTGGAGGAATAGTAATTCTCACATAGTTCCTGGTGTTAGACTCTCTTTCCAAGATTTGTTTTTAATGATAAATAAGAAAAAATGGTAATCTGTTACTTTATCTAGTCGATGTCTTCAAATAAGCATTATAAATACACAATGATCTGAGTGCTTTCACTTATATATGTGTCTGTAGAGTAAGTATTTAAATTATCACATACTTCAGACTACTGACTGATGGTTTACTTCTTTAATAACTAGAATTGGATGTTTTGCTGTGCTTTTTAAAAAAACTGTCACATTGCTTCTAACAAACAACAGTTATCACACCACTTAAGATGCATTCTGGGAATTGTATTTTGAAGTGGACAGCATGCTTATGTGTTTACATTGCCTTAAGACTCACATAGAGTCATAGTATCACAGTGGCCTGATGTGCAAAACACTCACAATTCTTACTCAATCAAATCAATTACCCCCCCCCCCCACTGATACTGTTTGGAATAAATATAATCAAAAACAAAAATACCATACAAAAGTTCACAGACACATATTTATTTACCATTTAATTTTTAGTGCACAGTTAATAATTTTGAAAAAAAATTGAATGTTCCTTTTTTTATGCATACCCTGTAGGTGTAGGATAAGATAATGATTGAAACAGTGACTGAGGGTTTCTCTACAAGTGAATGCACAAATGATGCTCAAAATGCAGATACTAAGTAATCATATAAATTTGAGTCCTCCCTTTAGCTATAAAACTATGTAAAATCTATGTAAAAATATATATATACTACAAAAATTCATATTTTAGGGTGTTCCAGAAATAACTTTCCTGTTATGAACTTCAATAAAACAATTATTATTAAAGCATAAATAACTGAAACTTTTTATATATACCAATCTGACTATTATTTAAAAGAAAAACCTGTCAATTTCTTGACATAAATACAGAGGTTCTCCGAGAACATAAAATTATTTTGGTATTATTTTATATCCTTAGAATTGATTTTAGTGAAACACAACTCTATTCTAGGACTTCTGTATATCATATTATTATACTTATTTTCCATGTGATATAAGTTATGTATCTGAACCATACTTTAAATAATAAATTAAAATAAATAAATTAATGTAAATTTGCAAATAATACAAAAGACAAAAGTAAAAACTTATATCATACTGTATTATATAACAAATTTTAGAACTACACATATTTTAATCAATAATATAAATATGCTATTTTCTTATCAACTACATTTGTAGAGGCCTTTTTTTGTTGTTGATTGAAAGTAAGATCCCTTCTAAAAAAAACCTGGTTGAATGCATGACTTGGGGTAAAATTGTTTTAATATAAAAAAATTAAAGCACATTTATATTCATTATTTTTTACTCCCCGAGAGAAAATAATGACTGCCATATAACTTGATCATTTAACCATGTCAGAATTTACTGTACATGTACTAATAACAGTTTAACAATATGTAATACTGTTAAATTGTTAACCTAATAAGACAAACAAGACACCTGTTTAATTAGAACTAACTTAGTTCTAGCTAGATAGGAAATCCTGAAAAAACAAACAAAAGTCTAGCTGTTAACACATGCCTCTTTAACATGGCCTAGCACAAAAAGCTATTTGATTTGTCAATTTCTCAGAATATGTGATTGTACAGTTTCTTCAAGCCTGTACTATAAAATGTAAATGTATTAATCATTTTAATTAGTTTTTAAGTTTTTGTCTATATCAACAATCTTTCTGCTTAAAAGCTTATGATGCTTTATATTCAAAGTTATTAATTATTTTTCCAAATTTTTAAAGTCAATGATAGAGTTACAAAAAAAAATCCATAATGTTTGTATATAAAGATTATCTGATATCGCCATGTTTTTAATATTCCTTACAAATCTTCAATTTGCATCTTGTGAATAATTTCAATCTCTTCAAAGGGATCATATAATATAATCATAAGTCTTCTTACCAAATAATAAACATACTTCTTTTAGGACTGAATTTGTTTTCACTTAATTATATCTTATCTATCACATACTATGACAAATATTTTTACAGTTTATTAACTCTAAAGACAATTATGTTTAATGATGAATTTGGCTATAGTATGCCATTACTAAATAAACAGATATTCCAAATTTCTGTAACAATGCTTAACTCTTTTCTTTAACAACAAGGATTTATTTTTAGGGAAGAATTAGTTTATATAGTGATCAATATCCCAGTTTTCTTTTTTCAAACTTATTATAGTGATAAAAGTTTTTCAAAGGTCACATACATGAGTAACATCCAAAAGAACCTGAGAATACTCAGCATTTTTTCAGATTTATAATCAGTGTCTTGAAGTAATGTTTACTTTCAATGCAAAAATTCAGTTATTTCAGTACATTGGTCTTATGAAAGTGTGTTGAAAGAAACACATGGAACAGTATCAATCATATTTTCAGCATACTAATTAAAGGTTTAGTATTACACTGTATATATATATATATATATATATATATATATATACACAACTAAGTTAAGGTTAAAACGTAACTACTCTGTACTGTGTCACTAGAGTAGGAGGTAATTAAGTTTAAATTAACTTAACTTTAAAAACCTAAAA